TTTAGTCACACCGGGAGAAAAAAATAGTCGCAGTCTGGTACCCTGTCATTTATTAATTGCAATGTTACATGTGTCAAAAACTATAAACAATAACATTTTTCCTTAAATTATGTTAATACTAATTTCCTTAAAATATTATTTTTCTTTGTGTTGTTTTCATTTTGATAATCCATTGCATATTAAAGTGGTACTAAAACTGACTAACACTAAGTTTGGTCCCCCCACCTGTCAGACCAGCATCGTGCCCCTGAGCTGTGCGACCGAGCCGAAGTCTCATCAGCTCACTTGTGGATGGCAGAAGAGGCGTTTCAAAACGAGCGCGAGCTGAGTGTCCCATAGTCTCTAACAGGCGGCGCATCCATTGCAAAATTAACGAGGATCTAGTAACTGAAAAGACACACAAAGAGAATAAGAACATACAAATAACAATAACAACAAAACTCATAATGTAACAAAATTATTGTCCAGGCTTTTGGAATTACATAAGAAAGTGTAGGCTGCACTTTCAAAAACTGCATATCGAAATGTATATGTACGCATATATTACTCAGATAAACAGCAGTTTTGGCCAAATTCTAGGAAAGCATTTATTTTATCCTTCATCATGAAAGCAATACCAGAATGCCCCACGATCTCAGACCAGATGAGAGTGCAATATTTTAAACAAGATGGCAGATTAGGTCAAACTTAAATTACATATAGTGGCTAAAGACACACAAAAAATAATAATACCGTATTCACCCGAATATAAGACGACCCTGATTATAAGATGATCCTGGAAAAAGGCTGTTTGAAAACCAAATCTTGTGTTTTAAGAAGAAAAAAAATTCTTAAATTATTTTTATATGGCATATTTTTCCTTTTTTTTTTTTTTTTTTTGGATGGTATGGTAAATTCTGGTAAAATGTACCAATCACATTTAAAAATATACACGTCTTGCCTACCATAAAAAAATAACAGGTAGCCAATCTGAATTATATAACAATTAGGCTATCCATCTCATAGTAGCCTAGCAAAATTTAATTAAGTTAAATATTATTGTAGTCTTCCAATCTGGGTACTGTCTTATGCTTTAAAATCACTTACAGAGGAAGTTTGGCCCCATCAGGCTAACATGACAGTCACGACTCATGCCCAAGCGGCAACCTTCCGATCTCCTTCGTGAAACCAACACGGAAGTGACTTAAACTGTAATTCATCGACTGGCCGCTAGAGGCTGGCTGCAAAAGGGTGTCAATCCCATAGACTCCCCATGTTAAAATGCCCGACTTCACAGCAGAAAAAAATGTGTTTACAGCCTGGTTCAAAAAATTATTTTGGCCTATATAGTTAATTTTGCCCTTCATGACAACTGTGAGGGGGGTGAATTTTTTTATAACTCATCCGTTTAAATTATATTAAGCCTTAAAATTCTGCATAATTAAGGGTGTGGCCACTTGAGTGGCAGGTGGATTGCCGCTGCTGTCAGCACCGTCGAGCTCGGTGGGCGTGGTTTCAGCAACCAGCTCTTTGCCCATTTTCGATGATCTGGGAGTGATGTGCTACCAAGATGGCGACGGCCGGCTCCGCCCACTTTTAGCTTTGAGCTCTTTAGAAACCTACGGGTGACGTCACGGACACTACGTCCGTGTTTTTTTTTTACAGTCTATGCTCATGCCACTGTAAGCTTTTCTTTTTCTTTTGTTTTCACTCGCATCTTTTAACAACATTACAACACACATTACATTACGTATTCCTTGGCACGCTCGTTTTACTTGCGTATTCGAACATTTAGGCTACCGGTCACTGAATTAACTAGTCATTGTGACTTACTGGTTTAAGTGGTCGTCTGCCTCCATTCAGCTGAAATGAGGCCAAAAATACCTACATTAACTGTATTAAATATTATTCTAACTGCAGAACAACAGTAAAACACTTGCTTGAATTTATAGCATGTATATGTGTATTCATGTTTATAGTTCATATATTGAGATTGTACTGCCACTTACATACTGAACTGTTTGTGTTGAATTCATCTGAAAGAACACAGACAAAAAATTAAAATATACAAGATAAACAGCTGATCTGCAGAGAGATTTGCAAGTTATTGTGGGTTGTTTACCTGATTCTATATTAACTTCCCATATTTGTTGGCCCTCTTTTGTCATTATACAGAGTTCAATTGGTTCATTTGCATCTTGAATGTGTAAATCAAAGAAGTTGGTCTTGTTGGGTGTCAATTTTAAACTCTGGCAAGAAGTGAATTTAAATATTTTAGAAAGAGGCAGCATGTAAGTCTGGATCATTTTCTAGCCAAAAAAAAAAGTGAAGGCAAACTTTTTCCAGGTACCGAAGGTTTGATTTTGGAGCCACAAGATGTCTTCAGGGTGTAACTGTCATCGATTTTAAGGGCTTCATCTGGAGTTGGTTTTAAAATCTCCATATTATTTGTCTCCTTCTCCTCCACTTTCTAACAGTGTTAGACATAATTATCTGTTACTTAAACATGTACTTACAGAAGTAGTGTTACAGTTGCTTTCTGCAAAAGCAAAAATATAAATATACTTATATTGTCCATACAATTTGTTATATTCCAAGTCATCTGAAGCCATACAACACCTTTAAAATCTCAAATACTGAAACTTGTTGAGTGGTATATTTAACTTATAATCATAGAGGTTCATACGTGTATCATACACATTCCAGATTTATTTATGTAATTATTTATTTAGCTTTGAAATTAATAGGCTAAATGGCTTCAAAAGACTTGAAAACATAGCATCCTTTATATTCTGTATATGTCTTGTTTGCTTTTGTTGTGTGAAAAGAGGGGCCTGAGGGAATACTATAATGGCAAGATTTTAATTAGCCCTTCAGAAGAGTTTGGTTATTGTCTCTTTCAAATAAAATCATCAAATAAGTAGCTGGTTATTATTCTGCAATTGTAAGTAAATTAATGTCAAAATACGTGGTCACATGGTACACTGTCATATGGTGCATAAAGCTTATCATTAGATTTTACCTTCTTAAGTCTTTTATCCTTTAAAATCAGGTACACATGAAGGTTGAGAGGAGATATTCTGTTGCGATAAATCAAAGTTTCACAGTGAAATTTCATGGTGAGGTACTGTTGCACCTCTACAACAATTGCCAAGAATGAGAAGGTGGGATTGAGAAGTTTGGCATGGAATCCGCTTAGTTCACATCTTTCCAATGAAACAGTACCGTCCTTTACATGAAGAGCTTTCACTGCATCATCTGAGGAAGATTCAAAATCTGTGGACAGTAATGCAGTTTAAGTTACATAGAACAAGAGCTCATAGGTCTGGCTTGAAAGGTTTACATGAATGTTGAAATGATTGAATCTGGAGTGAGATATGCCTTACACATACATACCTACACAGACAAAGTGAGGTAGCTGAATTTCCTCCAGTGTGCCAGAGGTTACAGTGATGTCCATCAAAGGTCCACATGGTTTGTATTTCTTCATAATATCTTTACTGAGTGATTTCCAGTCAACAAATCGATACTCCAGACTGACATCACTGTCAGACCGCCAGCGGAGGCCAGTCTCTAAACATTCATGCTGCCCTTCAGAGGAGCTGACACTGAAAAACACAAATATAACACTGATAAAGATGCTCTCAGAATATGTGATATTATATATGTAATGTTACAAGTATGTCATATTTCATAAATATTTATCTCTGTACCTGTACTTGATATTTGCATCAGTTGTGTCCTCTGAAGGTATTTTAACTTCCCAATCAGAATCATCCTGAGAGGGAGAAAAATAATAATTAATTGAATAAAGAAATTAAAAGTAACCGAAATACAGATAAAAGCTTTGTTTCAACAGAATTTGGAAACGTTCTCTGTCAAAAAATCAACAAATATTCTGATTCTTCATAGGGATGGGCGTATCGATCCTGAAGTAGGCTATATATATATATATATATATACACTGATGCGAATATCATTGCAAATATTTGAAATACTCAAGTAAAAAAAAAAAGTCAATACTAAGGTGTGTTTTATTTACCAGTGATTTTATTTATTTAATGTCAAAATACGTGGTCATTTGGTGTGGTCATCTTCGATGAAAGCTGCCAGGTTCGCAATCCTGCTTGGTCCGGCCCCCCTGTTGCCGAGGCACAGCGGCAGCTGTTATCCTGGGGATCGCAAGTGGATTTAGTGGAGGGATCCAAGACGGGCTCGTCCTTATCTCGGTCCTCACCAGCTACATCCACAGCTCCCTCTCAGGGATCGGAAGCCCACTCCGTGGTTTCTTCCTCCCGGAGAGGAAACCAGAAGCTTTGTCTGTCTTCCTCCGAGGAGGCTAACGTGATGAGCGTCGACACAGAGGAGACTGTGGACTCGCCACCACAGTCCCTCGCGTATGAGGAGCTTGTGGAGCTTGTGACCCGCGCTGTAGCCAAACTGAACATCGAATGGCCAGCCGAGAAACAGGACGCTCGTCCCAAAAGTAAACTGGACGAGTGCTTCCTGAAAGCCAGATCACAGCCTTCACGAAAGGGCCTTTCAATTTTTCCCCAATCTTCATTCTGAGGTTTCAAGATCGTTGGAGAAACCATATTCGTCCCGACTCTTCAGCCCTTCCATCTCTTATTATTCCAACATTATGGGACTGAATGAGAAAGGATATGGGGCAATGTCGGCAGTGGAGCAGATGCTCGCGAGCTATTTCTCCCCGTCCTCAGCATCGTCCCTGAAGGCCCCGAAGCTTACAGGTGTACCAGGCCGACCTGCTAAAAGACCTGCATGAGAGTGGGGATGAGGAATCCGACATAGTTGCCAAACTACGTCGGGCCACAGACCTGTCACTTCGGGCCACCAAGGAAACGACCAGAGCCATCGGCCGCTCCATAGCAGTGCTGATGGCTACGGAGTGACACCTGTGGTTGAATCTGTCCGATTTACAAGATAACGACAGATTCTTCCTCCTGGATGCCCTGCTATCCCCTTCTGGCCTCTTCGGTGGTGCAGTCGATACTGTTGTTGAGAGGTTTCAGGAGGCGAAGAAACAGGCGGCGGCATTTCAGCGCATCCTCCCTCGAAGATCCCAGGTATGCGGGGCTACTGAGCGGGAGCAGCCCCGGCTGTCTAGCTCCTCATACCGCCAGACCCAGAAGCAGATCGCCGCAACCTGCACCCCCCCCACAGAAAGAGCAGGGGTCAGGGCGATGCTCTCGGTCGGGGTCTTCGAAGCAGAAAGCAGATCTGCGGACCGTTATTCTGACTAAGGCCTCGGCCAAGCGGCCCTGACAGAACCATCATCAGGGCCCTGAGGGAAGCGCCCCCTAGGGAGGAGAGGTACACACCTCAGTATATGGTGCCCGATCCTCCTCAGTGCCCTCAGGGAGATTCACTGATACCCCTGCCACCCCTGGTGCTTCAGGGCTCAGTGAGCTCCGACGAGCGAATTTCCCAGCTGCTGCCTGTTGACTTCACTGATACACCTGCGAGCCCTGGTGCTTCAGGGCTCAGTGAGCTCCGACGAGCGAATTTCCCAGCTGCCGTCTGTCGATGGTACGACATGGGAAAGCTTGAGGGCACTAGAGCAGTCAGGTTGGTTCACTTCAGGGCACCCAGGTGGCTCCTCTAGTGACACCAGAGGCCAGTCTCGAGAGACTGGTTCCCTTAGTAGACTTTCTGACAGCGTGGAAACTTCTGCCAAATGTCTCACAATTGGTCCTGCAGACTGTAGAGAGAGGTTACAGTATTCAGTTAGGTTCTCATCCACCTCGCTTCAACGGGGTCATTCCTACACTAGTGGGCCCTGAGCAGGCTCTGGTATTAGAACAAGTAAATACTCTCTTTAGGAAGGAGGCCATCGAAATGGTCCCTCTTCTCGACAGAGAGTTTGGGTTCTACAGCCGCTACTTCATCGTTCTGAAGAAGGACTGAGGGTTGTGTCCGATCATAAATCTGCATCTATTGAACCACGCTATCAAACGGTTTTGGTTCAAGATGCTCACTATCAAACAGATCGTGTCTCAGATCAGATGACTGGTTTGTCACAATAGATCTCAAGGACGCATACTTCCAAGTATCCATCCTTCCTCAACACAGGAAGTTCCTGAGGTTCGCTTTTGGGGGCAAATCATACCAGTATCTTTTTTTCCGTTTGGCTTGTCACTCTCATCCCGCACTTTCACCAAGTGTGTGGATGCTGCCCTGGCTCCGTTGCGATGCGTGGTGTGGGATTAGACGACGATGCAGGCACAGTTGTCCCCTGCTCGTATCAAAGCGATTCTCATAGCCGTGAGGGGAGTGAGAGAAGGCCAGTCACTCACTGTCAAACAGTTTCAGAGATTGTTGGGTCTGATGGCAGCTGCATCCAACGTGATACCTTTTGGCTTGCTGTACATGAGATCCTTGCAGTGGTGGCTCAGGACCAAGGGGTTTTCCCAGAGAGGGAACCCGCTTTGCACGATCAAGGTCACGCGGCGATGCTTACTTTGCCTTAGACATGTGGAAGAAACCTTGGTTCCTGTCTCAAGGCCCGATATTGGGGGCTCCTTGTCCTTGCGTAATGCTAACGACAGATGACTCCCTCACGGGAACATTTCCTTCCAGACCTAAGGGGACATCATGTGCTTGTCCACACACAACACATCGGTGGTCTCCTACATCAACCGACGGGGGTCTGCGTTCGCGCCCCTTTACAGGCTGGCGCACCAGATCCTTCAGGGAAAGCTCCTCTCACTCAGAGCAGTTTACATCCCTAGGTACCTCAATCAGGGATCAGACATCCTGTCGAGACAGGGGCTAAAGGGGCTAAGATGGAGACTCCACCCAGAGGTGATGGAGCTCCTCTGGAGTGAGTTCGGCCAGGCAGAAGTGGCAGAAGTGGCGTCTCAGGATACGACACACTGTCCACTCTGGTTCTTCCTCACGCACCCAGCTCCGCTTGGGCTGGATCGTATGGTACAGACGAGGCTTCGTCTGTATGCTTTTCCCCTGATCGTTCTGCTCCCGAGAGTTCTGGAGAGAGTACGCCGGGACAGGGTCCGTCTCCTGCTAGTAGCCCCATTCTGGCCGGCCTGAGTATGGTTCTCAAACCTGGTGTCCCTCCTTGATGGCTCTCTGCTGGAGATTCCGATCAGGAGGGACCTCCTCTCTCAGGTGGGGGGCACCATCCTTCACCCCCGCCCAGAGTTATCGAAGCTGTGGGCGTGGCACCTGAGGGGGCACGACTCCTAGCATCCGGTCTCTCAACTGAGGTTGTTGATAACATACTCCAGTTCAGAGCTCCCGCCACGAGGAAACTGTAGGCCTTGAAGGGGAAACTTTTCAATTCTTGGTGCGGACAGCGAATGCAAGACCCAGTCAAATGCCCAGTTGGTGCAGTTCTGGAGTTTCTGCAGGAGCGATTGTCCGCAGGGTTATCTCCCTCCACTCTGAAGGTATACGTGGCGGCCTTAGCTGCTTATCACGCCCTTCTGGGTGGTCAATCATTGGGAAGACACCCACTTATCACTCGTTTCCTCCATGGCACCCTGAGGC